ATATCGAACGCTTTGCACAATTACTACTATTTAATTAATATTAACTAGGATCTTAATTTTCCTTGTACATTTTGATTTTGATAGGAAATTGTTTAAAATGTCAACTACTCTGCACTTTCCCCGAAAATAGGGTAAGAGCGTAACTTGAAGTTAAATACTTTGAAACTTTATTTCATGTGCAATGGGGCAAGAGCAGAATAATTAACAAATCTGCTGTAAAATGCTTTTTACTGCATTATGCAAGTACTCTATACCGCAAACAAATACTCTTAGCTGAAATATACAATAAAAGGGGATATAGTGAAACAAAACAAAGAAACAAACATACTAAATGGAGAAATTTAGCTCATATTGTAATAAAAATAGCCTGTATACGCACTTGTCCCGTTTATGCTTACCCCACTTCACCTTATATGATATTTATTCGCACCTTCCTTAACTTTACACACATTCTACAACCTAACAAAAGAATTGACTACTCAGTGTCCGCGACTGCACGCCATTCGCACATCCACGCTGCCCATCAGTTCTCCATCTTGCCGAAGAGTAAGGTTCTCAAGCGGTAAATTAATTCGCGAACGACAAGCCCAGTTGTCGGCGCCGTTTCTACTCGTTTTCACCGAATAAACATCAAGACCAGAAGTTGACCGGAGCGACATTGCCGCCGGTTTCCCGGCATATCCGAAATACCCAGCTAACCGTTTCCTCCGGCTCCGCATTTGGCACGGTTTCTCCCATGCATCTGCATCGGACGTCAGGTCTCGCAACTGGCTTTCGAGCCAACTGTGTCGAACGCAATCCGTGAACTGCGATGCCGAATTGATATCCAATTCCGGTCCTGGCGATCTGCGAAATTAGGGAGTTAACTGCTTTTGCGCGCTGGAACGCGCGGCTGATTGCGCTTCAATTTTCAGCTACACGAGAACTGTTTGATGATTGACTTCGACCTGATCCTTCTACGTCTCGATTCTCCCTTCATTCCGTCTGCGGATTCCTGATCTTTGCTCCTTACGTAACGAGATCACAAAGTTGCTGGAATAACTGTCTTCTAAGTGTTAACAAGCTAATACGGAACTGGGGTGTTAACTTGCTTGTGAGGGACAGATATCGCCCCTCGCGAAATAAGAAACCGAGCTCTTCAAGGATTTCATCTTCTCTGAAAATGCGGCGATCAAGAGGGGTGCTCACTATTTTCAGAGATTTTTCAGGGTTCAGTTGGGGATAGGTTACGAATTTTGAGACTTTACGATTTGAGAACTTTGGGATCTGGGAATCTAGAGATCTGGGAATTTAGAGATTGTATATAGATATGTGGGTACAGGCGTTTGTGGATTTATGCATATGTGATTTAGAAGTCTGGAAATTTTGGGACATGGGAGTTTTAGGTCATTGGAATTTTGGGGCATCGGAAGTTTGGCACATAGTTATTTTGGTATGTAGTCATTTTGGCATATAGGAATTTTGAGGCATATGAATTTTGGCACATAGGAATTTTGACACATAAGAATTTTGAGACACAGGAATTGCAAAACAAACCTAACCTAACAAAGTTGGGGTATAGAAATCTTGGGACATAGGGAAGTGTTGTAACTGAGGAGATCCGTGGTTGAAGTGATATTATAAAATTATATCAGGAACGAAGAATATTTATTTAATAAAACAATACAATATATGAACGATTGAATTACGTGAAAAAACAGCAGACAAACAAAATTCAAAAGAAACATGCGAACGCAAGACGAAGTTTTTAGGAATTTTGTGATGTAAGAATTTTGGGTCATAGACAGTTTGTAATAGAATTCTTCATTCAGTCAAGATGATTCATTCATTCAGAACGAAGAATATTTATTTAATAAAGCAATACAATATATGAACGATTGAATTACGCGAAAAAACAACAAACAAACAAAATTCGAAAGAAACATGCGAACGCAAGACGAAGTTTTTAGGAATTTTGTGATATAAGAATTTTGGGTCATAGACAGTTCGGAATAGAATTCTTCATTCAGTCAAGATTTATAGTAAAAAAACTCAGACACCCTGTATATTTCAAACTTTTTATGTGTGCAACTATTTGTATTTCCCAATTTCTGATGTGTACTATTTATCTTCATAGAAGATTTCAATGTTCAATGCTATAAATTTGAGTCGTGCTTGTTTTCCGTTTAGATTAAGCGCTCTTAATCAATATAAAACGACTTTAGCAATATCTATGTGACGGGTAAATATATAGAGACGTTATTTGTTTTGAAGAACATCCTTCTAACAAAATAGTTTCAAAGATTTCAAGCCGTATAGCTCAGAAAGAAGTAATTATTCTAAAAATCAATGAGAATGAACATTTCCGAAGTTTTAACCTAGACTTTCTATATTAGAAAAATTTATTTCTATATTAGAAATTTAAATTAAAAATTTCTATATTATTAGATAATGATTACTATATTATTTAGATAATCATTTCGTTTCTTTATGGAAACCGCCAGTTTGTTTCTCGGTACTGATAGTCGCGCAACTCAACCAATTTCAAACTTGATTTTATTAAATATAAAGTAACAATTATCACATGAAACACAATGCTAACAATTAAGAATTAAACACAACAATAAGAGTAATATAGGTATTAAATGTAGTATTTTCAATAATGATTTTCAAGGGCTTCTTTGAAATTGTCATCTTTTGAGTTGCTCCACTATGAATGTTAAACAGTGATTTGTAAATTCATTAAATTATTAACTCATAATTTAGGGGAAAGTTTATTTAAAAATTTCGAACTGAAACTTGTGCTCTTTTATAATTAATCAATAATTGATATATGAATACAAAGTAACATTATTATGGCGGTAATGATGGTAGAAGTATGTTTTCTCCCTTAAAATAAAAGTCCAGATGTTATAACAAATTTTAAATACTTTTCGAACTTTTCATATTTTCATACCAACAAAATAAAATGAGTATTATATACGTTATTAATGTATTATAAATGCACTACAAACGTTATTACGATTTTCATAAACACGTCCAAAAACAATTTTCATTCCATTACCTTAAAAAATAAACGCTTCAGAAAATGGAAGATTCTCGAGAAAAGTTAACATACATTTCAACAGCTTGTTAATTTCCGTAATTGAAAATAATGATTCTAAGATGCATCACTTTCGCAAATCGAGTGTTAAGATCGGCACGAAAAAGCAATCGAAGCGAAACAGTTTATAAGAGCACTTTCTCTGTCCCACTTTTTCTCTCTTTCGAAAGCATTTACCACTTTTTCGCCCATACAAAGCTTAAAAGCTGAAAATCGAGGATATCGATTTTGATGAAACGACACGCGCATATGTAGATACGCGAACAATTTTACTATTTCATGCGAACAAAAGAGCTTTGTCTTTCATCGAGAGGCTATTTAAACACTATACAGTGTCCATAAAATGTAAATATGGATGTATATTGCTGTTTGTAATCTAGAATAGTTGCCAATTACATTTAGCTCGATTGTTTCGTGTTCATAACGTTGTCCATTGTACCGCGTACAAAGTCGGTAATTGTTATGCTGAAGTTGTGTACTCGTTTTCCAATTTATCCGGTTCTTCCAGTTTGTGTTGAACGATCAACGCGGCCAATTTTATGGCTCATTAAACGCGGATTTATACGTCTTATATTTAAAATGGTTCACAGCTTTATTTGTTTAATACAAAAATTACGAAATTGTTTTTAGTTAAAGTGTACTAAAAGCTTCTTTCATTTGAATGAAACTTGTAGAGATCAAAATTATTATGTGACAAAAAGAAATTTTCATATGTGTTATTCATTTATGCAAAGACTTATAGTAACGAATTTGAGTATCCTTTTTGCAGAGGGTTTTGCTGATCAACACTGAGTGAGTTTACATCAAAGTATAAATAACTTTGAATATATAAAAGCTTATCAAATTACTTAAAATTTGTTTGTTAGATAATTAGAAAATTACTAACTGATGCTTTACATTATTTTGAGGTTGCAACAGTTAAATGTAGAATGCTTTACAAATGATGTTTCAACCAGAAAATGAATCTACATAGAAACTCAACTACATAGGAACTCAAGTATAATTTCGAACGAAATAGCAACGTGAGATTATGACTTTAGAGACTTCTTTTTAGATGTCCTTAGAGAATATACAAACTGTATACAAGTTGTCTTACAACTAATGTGACTCCTGTAAAAGGGATTAAAGCTAAAGTAATTCTGAACAACTTGGTCATTTGATCAATAATTTTATGTCTGTTTATTTCTATAACTATTAACTCAATAATAGTTATACATATTGTCTGAACACAGCTCTCAAAAGTCCTTAAAAGATTTGCAGCACCGATGATCACATTACTCATCGTGTTAAATGATAATCCTACAATGTTGACATATGAAATGCCACGTTCCTTTCATTTTTTCATAGTCATTTATTTAATTAACCCCTTGCCGTGCAATTTATTTGTCAGATGCGTCAGTTAAAACTATTTAAAGAAATTTAAAATGTGAGTATTTTATATTCAGCGACCCTGACTGTGCAAATTATAGTTAGACCTAAAATTTGAGTTGGTGAGTATTTGAGCAAAGTTGGTCACATTTGACCTGTGAGCGCATCGCGAGTGAGACTCGTCAAAGGCAAGGGGTTAGTGTTTTATCGAGGACAGTATAGTTTCAAACCTGAACTAAAACTATTAATTGGACGAATATTAGTCGATTGATTTCTACCAATGATCACATTAAAATAGCATTATTAATCTTGTTAAATGTCTTAATAAATAAGTTCCCAATAAACGTCATTTATTATCCTGAACCAAACATCTAATAACTTCTCCATAATATTATACGGTAACGTCCATGTCAAATAGTAACTGACTATTTAAAAATGCCCTCCCAATTAACCAGACCAAAAAAGTCCCATTTGCTAAAAAGAGAACTGTCAACCAGAAAAATTTCTCAGAGGCCAAGAGATAAACGAAACTGTTGACTGTTCCACTCACCGATTGGCACGCTGACAGCAAAGAGAACGACAAGAACGCGATGGCAGAGCATTGTGCACTGCATGGAAAACGCGATGAATCGTCCCTCGTGGTCGATGGAAGTAGCTGCTCCTTTTATCTACTTAACCCTGTCATCTTCCGCGGGATCCTCTGTTTCCAGTCTTCTGGCGCATAGCATGCCTGAAACAGCAGACAGACGTTATATAGCATCGGTTAATCGTTATTTTGCCGGGCCTCGCACATCGAACCGGCCGAGGAACGCGTTGTTTTCAATGAGCGGACAGAAGGATGCCTCGTCACCGGTCCGCTTTATCGGTCGTTTCCACCGAGCGAACTTTCGACTCGTACCCTTGCATCACAAAACTAACTACCCCACCGTGCTCCTATCATCGTTATCTGACCGGAGCTGCCGTTTCTCCTCGTCGACGTTCGATCTTGTTCCGCGAAACTTGCCCAATAGGCTGGTCAAAGAGGCGAATTCTGCAGCGTGTTTTCGGCATGAACTGCCAGGAGCTAATAACTCCATATTAGTTTCTTTGAATCGCTGATTTTGTACTGTTTTAGCTGTTCATTTATAGGGCAAACTGTATTCAGGGTTTGGGCAACTTCGTTGTTTGAAGGAAATTCATTGTTTATGTTAATGATTTATGATCAGAAAAATAGAGACTACTTGTTAGGAAACAATAAATGTTAGGAAACAATGAATAGTTTAAAACTTCTTGCAGATGATTTATTGTTTGTGGCATTAATTATTTAAACGCTTAATGAAACGTGAAAAAAAAAAGATTACTATCTTCTTCTATTTTAGAGTTTCTCTTAAAGCAAATAAAACATGAATTTTTAATCAAAGTGACGAAAAGAAGAAATGCAGTGTAATATAACATAAAATATAATGTACAGAGTGTCTCAAAACTAGTGTTCCTTGAAAGAGGTAGTAGAGTACGTCGTTCTGAACAAGATTTTCCTTTACAAAAATAGGGTTTGAAGCTTCTTTTTTGTCATTAAGGGAGTTATTAAGGGAAAACACTAACCAAACAGAGCGCGAAATAGCGCGCGCCCAAACGCGAGAGTGACAGCATCGAGTCGATCGTGATCGTGAACAAGAGTATCGATACCGCGTCGGTGTAACAGGAAGCTATTAGTTGAAAGTTAAATTGAATAACAAATTGAGAAGTTAAGAATAATGTTAAGTTCTTCACTATTGTTAAATAGGAGATATACCAATTAGTTATTGTTTATCCAGATCAAGTATATATAAAATGTACATGTTGTATCAAAATGAAAATGTAGTAAAGCTAAGAATAATAGAACAACCATTAACCATCCTGGCACCTGTACATCGTATACATTTAATATCATTAACATAAGAGTCAATGCTGAGATCAGAATACTAGAATTTGTAAATGTATCAATTTTCAAATTTGCAAATTTTCTAATTTTCCAACTGTCTATCAAATTGAATAACTTAAGAAATTAATTCCTGCAAAAGTACTTCGCGACTCCCTACAACACACGATGAACTATAGCAGATATTCGATAAAAGAAAAGCAAAGTAAGTAAAGAACGTACGAAACCTATTACAAGGTTGAAATAAAAAAAAGTATTACACGATATCGTATACCTCGAAACATTATCATTCAACAGAACCCAGTGTGCTAAATGCAATGAACACCAGACAGCAGGTTTATCGGCAATAATTTCCGGCAGAATGGCAAATGTATACCCATCATTGTCCATAATGTTCAACAAAACGAAAAGCTGTAATGCAAGCGTATCATACGAATTATTATTCGACGGTGTTCGCGTTTCGATTTCTCCCTAGCTATCACGAAATTGTTAATTTTCCATATTCCATAGGGTGATGCGCATTCCATGCGCAACCATACGTTCCACACGATGCACACCATTGATCAGATTCGCAGCTTTCCTGTTCACCATGCCCAACAGGAGACAGTTTCATCATAAAGTATTTGTAATGCTAATCCGTTTGGGACGGCATCCTAAACTTCGTATTGGCTACAATTCTCGTTAAAATTTCTACGAATGATCGGCAATCAGTTGATCCTCGATGATGTTGTAGGGATAATAAATAATTAATTTCAATCGAGGAGGGTCGATTTTAAGCTGACGTAAATAATATAATAGCTTCGAATTCATCAGCTTGTGCGATGTTAATTGACAAATTGACTCATTAAATTTCGATCTTGATGCGAAGGCATTTGTTATTTTATTGCGATATTTGTTACTGCAAATACGTGGAAGATTTAAACGTTACATAATTGGGGATCTGAGAAACTGAAGCTTCATTTAGCTTCGAATAAATTGGAAATTTATAAAATTCATCGGGCAATGGTAAACGAATATAAATTTGAAAAATATACTTTCACATAGAGAGGAGTAACTGGTAAGTTTTTACTTCGATTTTTGGCAATTTTTAATTGCATCAAAATGTCATCAGATCTCTACATTCCCTTTCTTCCCATATTGGAATGGATAGGATTCCAATGTTTTCACATCACAAACTTTCCAAACCCTCATTCTCGAAATTTCTAGGTCTCCACAATTCTAGATTGTCAAATTCCTAGATTTCCATAGCTGTAGACTTCCGAATCCCAAGCTTCACATCAAGTTTCTTTGATTTTCATATTTCAAGTTTGCCAGATCCTCACATCACAAATTTCTAGGTCTCCAGATTTCTAAATTGTCAAATTTCGAGATTTTCAAGTTCCAAACTCTCTAAATATTCATTTCTCAAATTACTAAGTTTCCAGAATTTTAGATCATCAAATGCTTAGATTTTCAAGTCGCAAGCTCTCTAAATATTCATTTCTCAAATTACTAAGTTTCCAGAATTTTAGATCATCAAATGCTTAGATTTTCATATCCCAAGCTTGCCAGATTCTCACATCCCAAATTTCTAGATTTTCAGAGTTCTAAATTGTCAAATTCCTAGATTTGCAATAGCTGTAGATATTCAAATCCCAAGCTTCAAATCCTTAAGCCCCAAATTTCTAGGTCTCCAATATTTTAGATCTTGAAATTCCTAGATTTGCATATCCCAAGTTTCCCAAATCCTGAAACCCCAAATTTCTAGGTCCCCAGAATTCTACATCGTCAAATTCCCAAATTTTCGTATCCCAAATCCTCCAAATCCTCTCATCCCTATATTTCTGGTTCTCCAGAATTCAAGATGGCCAAATTCCCAAATTTCCAGGTCCCAATCTCTCCAAATCCTCAAATTCCACAACTATATTCCCAAATCCCAAAGTTCCTTTATCCTCACATCCCCAACTTCTCTTCTCAGATTTCTAGATCAAATTCCAAGATCTACATATCCATAAATACCCATATCCCTTAATTCCCAGGTCAAAAATCTTAATTCGTCAAATTTCATCCTCAAATTCTAAGCTCATCAAATTCTTATCTTCCCAAATCTCAAGCTCTCCAAATTCCTATATCGTCAAATTTTTAAATCCTCAAAAACCCCTCAAAATAAAAGAGAGGCAGATCTCCTTTGGTTATCATATTTTTGATACGAAATATCTTCTCTGAAACATCATTTCATCGGACCAATATCATCATGCCGAATTGATATTCAATACCATTGTACTGATTAATACATCACGTCCAATTTCAACAATATACACTACCGTCCATAAGTATCCGGACACAAGCGAAATATGCATTCTCGTTGCATGAAAGTTATTCAAGTATCTGCAACAGTAACTAAAATCGATTTTTTTTCTGCGAAGGTCAGAATACTGGAACGTTTTTCGATTGATAATTCTCGTTTGGAACTCATATCTCGATGGAAAAGAAGCTACAGACGAACTAAACCGAAACTGTCGAGTGCGTAGCGTTACCTCCATTCTTATCTCCATTGAGGGAACCTAAACATCTACCAACAGTTTACAAACACTTGAAACATATCGAAGAACCCTCTGAATACGTCCTGCACTATAGAAATGAAACACAGTAGAAATTAAAACTTTTTTTTTAGAATCGAAAGCGTTTCATTAGATTCACAAATTTGGACTTTGTACTTCTGGACATGAATTTTACTTTCACACTTTCATTGTATAACTTGTACTTAAAAATTAATTCTATTACGTTATGACACCTCAAAAAAGATAATAATAATTATTACAAATGATATGATAACCCTAAATACCTTTCGTACAAAGTTCAACTATGTTTTATGTAACGAAACCAAGTGTCCGGATACTTATGGACGGTAGTGTATGTCCAATTTATATACTCTTTCAAATTCTAGTAGACACCATTGATTAATAAAACAAGATTCCAGCATCTGAAAAGTTACGTAAAAATGAAGTAAACGAGTTGTCTTGATAAAACTTCGGACGGCAATATTTACGAAAGTACCGATTCCTAAGTACGTCTCCACAGTCGAGACGAGCCGCCGTAAAATGCGAAACACGAAACACAGAACACGAAATACTGCAGTTCGTTACCGAGAAGGTAAAGCCGATCTATACCACAAACAGCGGAGGCAGAGACGAAAGCAAAAGCAGCCACGAGGAGTTGGCTCTTTCACGCAGACAGCTGAAACAAAAATAGTCGGACGGGTCTAACTCTAATTTACATTCACGCGTACCTATGTACTCTGCATATTTACAATACACGTGTGCGAGTACACAGCGTGTCCCAGAAGCTGGTAAACCATCGGGGGTGTCTTGAATTAACAGGGAGGCGATTTTAAAAGACGGATGCTCCTCAGAGAGGCTTTAAATCTTGGTAAGTAGGGATGGGATCGAGTCATTATGTACTCAGGAAATTTAATTAATTGCTACGGGTTATTGTGAGAGTTACGAGAAGGAAAAGCAGATTTGAGATTGTTGAATTATTTTGAAGACAAAGAAAATTATTTATAGTACAATTTATATAAAACGCTTTAACACTTTAATGGTCAACATGTGTGTGATTGATAAACATGTGGTTGCTTCAATAATTATAATACACAAAATGTATATAATAAAATTTATTTTAAAATTGCATATTTATTGAAGAATAGATGTACAAATTGATTAATGTTATTTCTATAATGCAATTGAAACGTAAAGTAGAATTCTGAAGTAAATAAAATGAAGAAGAACTTGTAATAAAACTAAGAAAATTGAGAAAAATGAAAAAAATTAAGAAAATTAAGCAAAACGAAAAAA